TGCATTTTCCTAATGACTAATGATGTTGGGCATCTTTTTATGTGCTTGTTGGCCATTTATATGTTGTCTTTGGTGAAATATTTATTCAAACCCTTTGCCCTTTAAAAAAATTGTTTTTGAGTCAGTCTCATGCAGGCTGGAGTGCAGTGGGACGCTCATGTCTACTGTAGCCTCTATCTGCTGGGCTCAGGCCATCCTTTTGCCACAGCTTTCCAAGTAGCTGGAATTACAGGCGTGTGCCACCACGCCTGGATAATTTTTTGATTTATTATAGAGACAGGGCTGGTCTTGAACCCCTGTGCTCAGGCAGTTCTCTCACCTCGGCTTCCAAGAGTACTGGGATTGCAGGTGTGAGCCACTGTGCCTAGCCTCTTTTACCTATTTTTGATTGGGTTGTCTTTTTATTGTTGTGTTATAAGAGTTCTTAGGTATTCTACATACAAATCCCTTATCAGATAACTGATTTGCAGATATTTTCCCTCATTCTGTATCTTCTCTTTCTTAATAGGTCCTTTGAGACTTCAAAGTCTTTTATTTTTATGAAGTCCAATTTGCATTTTTTCTTTTGTCACTTGTGGTTTCAGTGTCATACCTAAGAATCCACTGCTTGAACCAAGGTCCTGAAGATTTAGTTCATTATGGCTTGGAAGACTTAAAATTTCTACATGTCTTTGAGTTTAAACTCTTACATTTAGATCTTTGACCTGTTTTGAATTAATTTTGTGTATGACTGTGCAGTTGGGTCCAGCTTCATTCTTTAACTCGTGGAACTAGTCCTAGAACTACCAGTTGAATGACTGTGCTTTCTCCCTCTGAATGGACTTGGCACCCTTGTCAACCAGAAGTGTTCTTTTAAATAAAAAATCAAAACACTTGGACTTTTGGACTTTTTTTTAAGTTTTCAAGCGAAGTTTATTTAGAAAGTAAACTAGAGAGATAGAGGAAGAAGATTCACCTCCTCAAGGTAGGAGGTGGGGTGGGACCAAAGCTAGGAAATATGACGGCCATAGCTCATGGCGACACCAGAGTTTAACAAAGCAATGGCCCCAGTGAGTCATCTTAATTAAAGGAAGCTTGAAAATCTGTAGCTTTCCTGTTAACCCTGCTTGGTAGCAGTCACTGTCAGTTTCAGTGACTGCACATAGCTAAATGTCATGATTTACTTAAACAGTATCATATTGAAAGGACCAATCTGAGAAGAATAGATGAAATGGGCATTTTATGGTTATCAGTGTAGTGTTTGTTAACTGGGCTATTGCAGCAACTGAATAATGATAATTAATGAGGTAATGCTGTTATATTAAAACAAGGCCACGTTCACTGGCTTTTATGCCTGTGAACCCAGCACTTTGGGAGGCGGAGGCCAGAGGATCACTTGAGCCCTGGAGTTCAAGACCAGCCTGGGCAACATAGTGAGATCTCGTCTCTATAAAAAATAAAATAAAATAAACTTGTGGTGGCATGTACCTGTAGTCCCGGCTACTCAGGAATTTGACACAGGAGGATTGCTTGGGCTCAGGATTTGAAGGCTGCAGTGAGCCATGTTGGTGCCACTGCACTCCAGCTTGGGCAACACAAGACCCTGACTCAGAAAACAACAAACAACAAGAACAGAGTCAGTTGGGTGTTTCATTCTGCCTGGGTAATGACGTTAGAGGAAAATAAACGAATGTTGCCCTTTGGACCTGAGTAATAAAAAATTGGCAACAAACAGAGCAACAGTGGTATTTTTGCCACCAATTTTAGGGCTTTGCCTTAAATATATTAGTGGAAAAAATTGGATTGTGGTTAGGTAGGAAGAACTACTACTGAATTACCATGAAATTTTGATTTCTAAAGTAAAAGGAAAGCCAGAGACCTGGCATTCTGTAGTTACATCCAGGAGATATATATATATATATATATATGTATGTATGTATTTGAGTTGCAGTCTTACTCTGTTGCCCAGGCTGGAGTGCAGTGGCACACTCACAGCCATTGCAGCCTCGACCTGCTGGGCTAAGGTGATCCTTCTGCCTCAGCTTTCCAAGTAGCTAGAACCACAGGCAATTAGCCACCATACCTGGCTAATTTTTTGATTTATTGTAGAGACAAAGTCTTGCCAAGTTGCTCAGGCTGGTCTTGAAGCCCCGGGCTCAGACATTCCTCTCTCCTCTGCCTCCCAAAGTGCTGGGATTACAGGGTGAGCCACCGTACCTGGCACATCCAGGATATATTGCTTGTTCACTTTTTTTTTTTCCTCTGAGTTGGAGTCTCACTCTATCGCCCAGACTGGAGTGCAGTGGCCGCTCCTGGCCACCGCAGCCTTCACCTGCTGGGCTCCGGCGATCCTTCCGCCTAAGCCTCCCAAGTAGCTGGAATTACAGGCGTGCGCTACCACGCCCAGCTAGCTTGTTCAGTTTTAATTTATAAGAAGCAAGTTTTTGTTTGTTTAGTTTGTTTTTAAAGGATCTGTTCTGCTTTTTCCTTTTGCTGACCTATCTTTTCTCAATAGCGGAGCAGGCCAGAGGACAATGCAGGACACTCTGAGCCCTCTCTTTGTCTTTTAGGTGTACTCTGAGCATATTTGGGTCAAGAAAAAGGTCCCAATAAACAATATAGAATATGTATTTTAGGTAACATTTATTTCTGGGTAGTTCACAGCTTGTTTCAGATCTTAGATTTCTTTGAGGTAGGTGTAGACAGGGGATATAATTCCAACTTTACAACCAGAGCAGCAGCTTTAAGGACAGATTCATGAGCAGCCAAGTATTAAGCAAGCACTTTTATTATGTATTTTATTTTGTTTTGAGACAAGGTCTCGCTGCTGCTGAGGCTGGAATACAATGGTGCTGTCACAGCTTGCTGTAACCTGACCTCAAGTAGTCCTCCCACCTCAGCCTCCCATAGTATTGGGATTACAGGCATGAGCCTAGGCACCTTTTTTTCAAAGTCAGTGCCCTTGTGGAACTTTCTTCTTCTTGGCCCCAGAAGGTTGGCTTGGGATCCTGGCTCTGCTCCGAGTAGCTCTGTGACCTTGGGTGAAATGTAAGGGAATGAAAACTGGAGCTGTCTGTAAAGTGGAAGAGCTGGTGCCTACTTTGTATAGACTGGGTTGGTTTGTGCACGAGTCAGACATATGGCATTACTGCAACGGAGGGCACAAGGTAGGCAGGCATTATTGAACAACTGTTTCACGTGCTCCTCTTTTCAGTCTTTGTGAACCCAGCTGCTCCCTTGCTGAGACCTGGCTTCTGAAGGCTCGTGAAAGGGGGTTGTGTGAAGGAGGTGGTGGGTAGGTCCCTGGATGAGGACCCTCTCTAGCCTTTCCTCACCCTTCCTAGCACCTTGAAGTTCTGGCTCTTCCCATTAGTGTGTTTCTTCCTATGGGTTCTTCGATGGGCAATGCCTCCTCTTCTCTCCTTCACATGCACGTCCTCCCTGCGCTGAGACACTCCCACCTAGAAGGAGCCCATCCTCCGTGGGTCCATTGGCATTTTCTGTACCACTCAAGCACTCAGTGTTTGTGTGTGTGTGTGTGTGTGTCAGATTCTCACTGTCACCCAGGCTGTAGTGCAGTGGCAAACTCATGGCCACCGCAGCCTCAACCTGCGGGGCTCAAGCAATCCTTCCACCTCAGCCTTCCAGGTAGCTGGAGCCACAGGCACACATGCCATGCCCAGCTACTTTTTTGATTTATTGTAGAGACAAGGTCTCACCAAGTTGCCCAGGCTGGTCTCGAACCTCTGGGCTCAGGCAGTTCTTTTGCCTCAGCCTCTCAAAATGCTAGGATTATAGGTGTGAGCCACTGCACCTGGCTTGTGCTTTTTTTTTTTTTTTTTTTGAGTTGGAGTCTCAATCTGTCGCCCAGGCTAGAGTGTGGTGGCACACTCACAGCCACCTCAGCGTTGACCTGCTGGGCTCCAGCGATCCTTCCACCTCAGCCTTCCAAGTAGCTGGAACTACAGGTGTGCGCTACCACACCCAGCTAATTTTTGATTCATTGTAGAGACGATGTCTCACACCTGCGGGCTCAGTCAATCCACTCGCCTCGGCCTCTCAAAGTGCTGGGATTACAGGCTGAGCCACAGAGCCCGGCCATGCTTTTCTAATATGTTTGTTTTTCCTCTGCTCAAGAGTAAATTATTTGAGTGTAAGGAAACTATTTTTTATAGTTTCTGTTTTCCAAAATATCATGAGTACAACAGATCCTCAGTCGTTTCTGGATCCTTTTTTTTTTTTTTTTTTAAATCAGGATCTCACTCTGTCACGGAGGCCAGAGTACAGTGGCATGATCACGGCTCACGACAGCCTTGACCTCCTGGATTCAGGCGATCCTTCCACCTTAGCCTCCCAAATAGCTGGAACTACAGGCTCATACCACCATGCCCAGCTCATTTAAAAAATATTTTTTTGAGAGAGGAAGTCTCACTATGTTACCTAGGCTGGTCTTTAGCTCCTGGACTCAACCAATCCTGCCACCTTGATCTCCAAAATTGCTGGGATTACAAGTGCGAGCTAACATGGCTGGCCATCTGGATAGATTAGAAAATGTTTTTCTCATTCATGCTGCAATTAATCTTAATCCTAAATTAATTAATCCTTATTGCCTTTTTTGAAATTGTTTCATATAGTGTATTAACTTAAAGAACATCATATGTCTGTCCTCAGGTTATTTTGAAAATTAAAAAAAATCATATGTTTATCATAGATTTGAACTTTTAAGTGAAGATGGTAACGTCTGCAACTGTGCTCAACCTTCCTTGGGCTAGGAGGCCTCCCATGTAGTAGGTCCTAGGGTGTGTATCTGTTTGACATAGTCACTGCTCTGTTGGGCTCTCAGGTACTTGAGCTAGTACTGAGCAGATGGCACACTGTTCCAAATGCATTTACAGACCAGAATCTTTCTCCTCAACAAGCAGTCAGGCAAGTTTTTTTCTAGTAACCTTATCTCCCCAAATGCTCTTGTTTTAAAAAACTTTTTTTTTTAATTTGTTTTTTTATACAGGTAGTCGTGAAAGAAAGACTTCAGGACAAAAATGTTTCATTTAAGGACTTGTGCTGCTAAGTTGAGGCCGGTGACGGCTTCCCAGACTGTTAAGACATTTTCACAAAACAGACCACCAGCAGCTAGGACATTTCAACACATTCGGTGCTATTCCGCACCTGTTGCTGCTGAACCATTTCTCAGTGGGACTAGTTCAAACTATGTGGAGGAGATGTACTGTGCTTGGCTGGAAAACCCCAAAAGTGTACACAAGGTAAGGCTCGCAGGGCCTTGGGTCTGCCTCATGTTGGTGTGTTGGTCTGATGCTGACTGGCCACCAGGTAAGTGCGTGTGCCCCGAGGAGTTGACAGGCAGGCAAGCAGCTGGACCCCTGCACCAACGACCACATCATCTGCATCAGACCCAGCATGGCAGAAATCACGGTCTACTTGCTTGGCGTCCAGCAATAGACATTGCGCTTAATCCTGCGAGGATGTGAGAAAGCATGTACATGACCCTCCAGGATCTCTCCAAGGGCTGCTTCAGGATGAAGCCTCTGAAGAAAGGAAGAAAGAGCATGTGTGGAAAAGAACAAGGCCTCAGGAAGCTCCTTTGTCCTGACTGTCCTGAGAGGATACTTTTATATGTGACATGCCTTAAAGTCACCTCATGTAATTTCTGTACAAATGGCCTTTTAGATCATTGTGTTCCTATTTTTTACCTTTCTCACTTCTCTGTGTTACCTATAAGGGTGTTTCCTATCCCATTTTTCACATGTTTGCTGATATAATTCTTGCCTAGTGATGGAATTTCTTTATTCCATTTTGACCAGTGAATCTTTATAGGTTTTCGTAATCATTTCTTGATTTTCAGGGAAGGCAGCTGACCTAATCAGGAGTTGAAAAGTCAGTATAGTACAGTATAAGAGGGTGGATTCCAGAGTTTCTTCTTTTTTTAGATTAGATAATATAGTTTATTTAAAAACTGAATTAGAAAGGGGGGGGAGAGAGAAAGAGAGAAGAGATTCACCTTCCCAAGGTAGGGGAGGGGGCCAAAGCCAGGAAACATGGCCTGGCCATAGCTATAGAGCACATGGCCATACTATAGCTTAGCAAGACAATGGCTGGATTCCAGAGTTTCTGACCTCCTATCCTTCACCTGTAGGGTTGTTGGGCTAATTAAAGGAGATGCTGTGGACAAGGTGCTCAGCATCTTTGTAGAGGGAGCACTCAGTCAACGGTGCTTATCTTTACTGTAAATTTGACCTTTTTCCCCACTCTTTTTTTTTTTTGAGTTGGAGTCTCACTCAGTCGCCCAGACTGGAGTGCAATGGCCGCTCCCGGCCACCACAGCCTCGACCTGCTGAGCTCTGGTGATCCTTCTGCCTTAGCCTTCCAAGTAGCTGGAACTACAGGCACGTGCTACCACGCCCAGCTAATTTTTTTGATTTATTGTAGAGATGAGGTCGCGCCAAGTTGCCCAGGCGGGTCTCGAGCCCGCAGACTCAGGCAATTCACTCACCTCAGCCTCCCAAAGCACGGGATTACAGGCTGAACCACCGAGCCCGGCTTCCCCACTCTTGATTCTTGGGGTCTTATCAGGTAGTCTACTTCTACTTGGCCTCTATGAATAAACTATCCCTTCAAGTGCTAGTGACATTTAAGAATGGATACATTCCTGTGGCTGGTGGGCCACCAGGTCCCATTTTTTCAGGAATGCTACCTGTTGGTTTCAGCCTCTCAGTGGTAGAGGGGCTCTAACCTAATCCTTCCTGGTTTCCGTGGCAGTCTGGGAGCCACATTGCTCCCTGAGCAAGGTGAGACCTGGTCCCTGTAAGAGATCTGTAACTTATTTCACTAGTCTGTGAACCAGCTGACCAGAAGTGCTCTGTGAAAATGGCTGTAGAGGTACAGACTATCTCTGGAATAAAACTTAGCCCAGAGGTTTCCGAATCAAGGCCTGTCAACTGTACCCAGGCCTATTCCTTTGCCTTCCTTTTCTCAAGCATAACTTTTTTGTGGAACCAACCAAGTTGCTTTAAGTTGTGTTTGGATTTGGAGACTAGCCTCTGAATGACAATGCCTTGTGTATGAGTGGTAAAGAGCACTTGGGCTCAGACTGCGTGTGCTCATGAAGTTTTGGTCCTGTGAGTGGTTTGTGGGTGTAGTGCGTGTAGTACACACTGTGAGCTGTGTAACCACAGTGCTGTGGACACTGGGCTGACGCTGATATAGCTGCTCCTGCTGGAAGCTTTTAGGAACGTTTTTGTGATGGCATGATGGCTTTGTTTTTATGCCTGTTTCTGTTGCCAGGATATCCAGGGGACACAGTGTCTGAATCACACACATGCTCGCCCCTCTCAGCTTGTAGAGGGGAGGGACAGGATGGCTGAATCAGTGGGTATGTTTTCATCCCTCCTCTGCCTTCCCAGACAGCAAGTGGATCTTCTTCAAATTGATTAGGCCCAGTAGGGGGTGGTGTATGTGTTTTTCAATGGAGATGATCGATGGCATCTGTCAGATTTTCTAAGGCATCTATAACTCACGAAAGGTTAGGATCCACCGCCTTAGAGATCACTTATTTGTGCTCTTGTTTTTTTGTTTTGTTTTGTTTTGTTTAATTGGAGCCTCATTCCATCACCCAGGCTGGAGGTCACTGGCGTACTCATGGCCATTGCAGCTTCGACCTGCTTGACTCAGATGATCCTTCCACCTCAGCCTCCCAAGTAGCTGGAACTACAGGCACATGCCACCATGCCCAGCTAGTTTTTTTGTTTTGTTGTAGAGATGAAGTCTCAACAAGTTGCCCAGGCTGGTCTCGAACCCCTAGGCTCAGGCAATCCTCTCGCCTCAGCCTTCCAAAGAGCTGGGGTTACTGACGTGAGCCACCATGCCCAGTTTATGCGCTCTTGTTTTAGAATACATAGTTTAGGTAAAGGTAATAAAATTAGGAGTGCTGTAAGACTTAGACAATCTCTTTCATCTCTTATTCAAACATCAGAAATGTCCTGAGGTTGGATTCTGGAATCATTTTCAGAGAGGGAGCTGCAAGGACCAAACTTTTCCCACATAGCAGAAACAGACTCAGCATCTCCCCCTCCTTTCCTTTACCCTGCTTTCCTATTAGTATTTTTTAAACTTTTTATTTTGGTGTTTTCAAGCATTCATAACAGTAGAGAGAAGAATAGAAAATGAAGCTCATGAGAAGATCCATAGCCCAGCTACAGCAACTGTCTAGATTTTGCTAATCTTTAAACCCTGTTCTCTGCTCCACTAACTTTTTTGTTGATTTGTTCTTGACTGGGTGGGGGACCCACTGGAGTTTTGTTTGTTTGTTTGTTTGTTTTGAGTCGGAGTCTCACTCTGTCACCCAGACTAGAGTGCAGTGGCCGCTCCCAGCCACCGCAGCCCCGACCTGCTGGACTTCAGCAATCCTTCCGCCTCAGCCTTCTGAGAAGCTGGAACTACAGGCGTGCGCTACCACGCCCGGCTGATTTTTTTGTTTTATTGTAGAGATGAAGTCTCGCCAAATTGCCCAGGCGGGTCTTGAACCGCGGGCTCAGGCAATCCACTCACTTCAGCCTCCCCAAGGCGCGGGATTACAGGCTGAGCCACCAAGCCTGGCTCCACTGGAGTATTTTAACACAAATTCCAGACCTGTCATTTCTGTCATAAATGCATCAGTGTACTCATAAGAAAATATTTTCATAACTACACCTAACAGAATTAACAGGATAATTCTCTAATAGTCTGATTCTCAGTCTCTGTTCAAATATTTGTGACTGTTTTAAAGCTGCCTTTTTACATTTGGTCTTGTACTTTATAGTTGGTTGTTTATCCCTATTTTCGGAGAAAACTTTTATTTTTAAAGTGTTTAACTGTGAAAATTGTATTTGTGGTAAAGTATTTGAACAAATCAGAGCTATGAGTTCCTTTTTCACCCCAAACGTGCTATCCAGGACTCTCCATATTATTCCTAAGTTTGGTCCTCTCCTAGACGTTTGTCTCTTCTGGCATCTGTGGTCCTCACTGACCCCTCTTGAGAATCTTTGGTGATGGCCTGGCCTGTACTATCAGAATATGAAGCCCTCCTCATTAGGGTCTCAGCATGTTGAGGTCACATCAAATGGTGGCATCTTATTTATGTCTTAGAAAAACAATCAAAACTAAACTATCCTTGTTAATGTTTAAAACAAACAGGTAATTGATAACTGCTAAACCCCTGTCCGTCTGAATGTTCATCTCATTGTGTTTTATAGGGACAGGTGCCTACCCACAGCTGTAGCATGGTAGCATAGCATCCACTAGGTTCTATCCCTGTTGAGGAAGACACAAGGTTTGGTCCTGAGGAGGTGGAAGGAGCTAGGGCCTAGTGTCCTCCTTCCTGTGGTACCTCCGTTGCCTGCCTCAAGAAACTTGTCACTAGCCCTGCTTTCCCTCTGGGCCCACCTGGCTATTTGTCTTTCTTTCTTTCTTTTTTTAAAGTGACAAAGCAGGATTTATTGAGAGGACAGAAAAGCTCACACAGTGGGAGGGGGTTGCCCCGTTTGTCTTTCACACAGCTTGCTTTGTACCTTGGGGCTCTTTCCCTGCTTGGTACCTTCTTGTTTGACCTCTGCCTACCTCCGAAGCCTGCCATCCTGTTTTTGTTAACTAATTCCCATTTCTTGTTTTTTCTTCTTATTCCTTTCATGTGTCAGCTCCTAAAGTGTGCACAAGTGGTCACTGCCGGAGGGAGGGTTCTGTATTCAGGGCATAGGTGCAAGCTGTCATTCTGGCATCACTGGCTTTCTGCCTGGATGGCTCTGCTTCTTCCTTCCATGCTCATGAAACACAGTCCCGGTATTTTCTGTAAGTAAAGTCAAGTGGAGGAAAAGCACAAACACGCTATCCCATTACATGGTGACTCGGGCCTTTGCACTCTACACTGCTGAAACTGCCTTGGCTGCACTTTGAAAAATAGGACCAAGCCGGGCTCGGTGGCTCAGCCTGTCATCCCGCGCCTTTGGGAGGCTGAGGTGAGTGGATTGCCTGAGCCCGTGGGTTCGAGACCCGCCTGGGCAGCGAGACCTCATCTCTACAATAAAATCAAAAAATCAGCCGGGCGTGGTAGCGCATGCCTGTAATTCCGGCTACTTGGAAGGCTGAGGCGGAAGGATCGCCGGAGCCCAGCGGGTCGAGGCTGCGGTGGTCGGGAGCGGCCACTGCACTCCAGTCTGGACGACAGAGTGAGACTCGAACTCAAAAAAAAAAAAAGAAAGAAAGAAAAATAGGA